TCCTCTTTCAAGGCATTCAATAAGTTAAATCCAACCAAATTTTGCCAGACCTTTCACTACTACCTTCAACAATTTCTAATTTGGTGTTCTCACTGACAACATAAACACTTAAGATAATTCACTATATGGATACACCAACTTATTGATGACTATAATACTATCAATTAAACTGAAGCGAATATTTCTTTGTCATAACTGCAGGTATTACGTGCTGATCACTGTTGGAGACTTCATCTTTTCTTAGAAATCATGCAAAACCAAAGCTTTGTAACTGAGTTCATCCTCCTGGGGCTTTCACAGAATCCAAACGTTCAGAAAATAATGTTTGTTGTGTTTTTGTTTCTCTATCTTGCCACCATTGGGGGCAATACGCTAATTTTAGTTACAATTCTCAGCAGCCCTGCCCTACTGGGGTCCCCCATGTACTTCTTCCTGGCTTTCTTGTCCTTCCTAGGTGAATGCTTCTCCTCCGTCATCACCCTGAAGATGGTCGTGGACTTCTTCTATGAGAGGAAAACCATCTCCTTTGAAGGCTGCATGATGCAGCTTTTTGCTGAACACTTCCTTAGTGGGGCAGAGTTGATTGTCCTCACAGCCATGGCCTATGATCGGTATGTGGCCATTTGCAAGCCTTTGCATTACTCTTCCATCATGAACAGCAGGCTCTGTGGCATTCTGGTTGGGGTAGCCTGGGCAGGGGGCTTCTTGCATTCCATTATACAAATACTCATTATTTTCCAATTGCCCTTTTGTGGTCCCAATGTCATTGATCACTTCTTGTGTGACTTGCATCCTTTACTGGCACTTGCCTGCACAGACACTCACATCCTTGGCTTTTTTGCCTTGGCCAACAGTGGGTTTTTCTGCATCATAATCTTCTCATTGTTGCTTGTCTCCTATGCTGTCATCTTGTTCTCTCTGAGAACTCATAGTTCTGAAGGGCGGAGAAAAGCTCTTTCTACCTGTGGATCTCACATTGCTGTTGTGGTTTTGTTCTTTGTCCCGTGCATGTATGTATATGCACGACCTCCATCTACTTTCTCCTCTGAGAAAACTGTAACAGTAGTCTACACCATCCTGACTCCCTTGCTCAATCCTTTGATTTATACTATCAGGAATAAGGATGTAAAAATTGCCATGATGAAATTATGGAAGAGATTAATGGTGGTTTCTGATAGAAAATAAAATACTAAACTCTTTTTATAAAATTAAGCTTAACAATAAAAATGTCAAAAAATTTCTTGGACAATAAATTTAAGGTATACACCTGTACAGAATGAGGTAACATAATGTTATAACAAAAGCTTTAATGGGGGTCAGAAAATAATGCTTGTACCCTCTGATTCTCATGAACTCTGAATTGGCAGCCCAGTATCACACATGTAAAATAAAGTGTGTTGAATTTTATATTTACTAGAAATCTAATAATAAAAAGAATTAAAAAAGAAATTACCTCATACAACTGCTTGTGATGTACTTCATGCAGTGAAAATCCTTTTTGGAAGGAAGACAATGATTTCTCAGAAATTAGGGACAGAAATTTAGCCAAACTATGGCAATTGAAAAGAAGGTTATGTTTGGGACACTTATATTTGTGTCTCTGAGGGAAAAAAAAAAGCCAAGATTGAGGTAGAGCAGAGACCAGAGCATTCACAGAACCTCAACTATAAGCGTTTCTGTTTCATGTGACTCCCATCATTTACTGTGGGTCCACTACCAACCGCTATAGAATTTGAGTCACTCAATTAATTTCTTGAGAAACAACATCATTGATCCAGTCTTCCTTACACATGAGTTCTCTTGGGTCAGGTAACCACCCTCTACCAACCAGCTACGGGAGAAGAAGATTGCAGATTCCACAAAAGTGTTAGCAGTGGTTATCTCTTCTTCAAGCACAATCTAAGGGAACATGAAAGATCAGGTTACTAGCAAACCAGTCCCAAGCTGCACATGTAGTGAGCTGACCTCCCCCTACAGAGGAATAGAGACAGGAGGTATCAGAGAGCAAAAGGCAGATTTCAAAAGACAATTAATTTTCAATTTCTGGGTGATTGAAATTTTCTTGACTTTGTCAACCCAGGGAAAATAATTCTATTTGAATAAGTGTCAATGAAGAGATCATTCAAATGTAGAGAGATCTTATAAGGCATTCCTGTAGTTAAGGTTTGTTAGTCTCAGATTGCCAAATGGCTTATGTAATAAAATCTTTGCAGTAAAACTTTTAAATTTCTGTTATCACCTAAATACTAGGAATCTAGGAATCTAATAATAAAAAAAGAATGACAAGAGAATTTACCTTTTAAGACTGCTTGGCATGTACTTCATGCAATGAAAATCCATTTTGGAAGGAAGACAATGATTTCTCAGAAATTAGGGACAGAAATTTACCCAAACCATGCCAATTGAAAAGAAGGTTATGTTTGGGATACTGATATTTGGGTCTCTGAGGAAAAAAACAGCAAAACTGAGGTACAGCCTACTAAAATTCCTATTAATTATTATAGACAGAAGCACTCAGTGATATTTTTATTTTTTCCTTAATATTTCATGACAGGCCCAAAGTAAAAGAGTGCATGAAGTTAATTTTCTTTCTGAGAATAGAAATGGCAGAGTATAGGTAAGATTTAAGTGATTTCACAGAGAGAAATCCATGAGGGATTAAGATTAGGATCTAAAATATTTTCTGAATATATGTGTGCACTACACCAGACTAACTGTGCAACAAAGGCTTGGCGGTGCTGGGGAGATTTTCATGCTTCCTTCCTTGGGTTGTCCATCATCTGTCTGTCATTGTATAAAGGGCAGCTCCTTATTGTATTTTTAACTTCACATAGAGGTTCTTATTGTTAAGTTGTTCCTTTATACCCAAGAACTTGCTAGAGATTGATAATTTGGTATCATTCCTTCAATTGATTTATAAATCTGTGAATTGAAGATTTGACATACTACAAAATAAAACAATATTCTGGTATTGTTGTGAACAACACAGATTCATGCCTGATCCGTGAAACACTAAAATGCAAACACATTTTAATTATTTGACCTCACAACTTCTCATTGTGGTCTCCTGTAATAATATACAAGGAAAAAAATATATATAATATTTAGTATATGAAAATACAAATAAGACACCTACCTAACCTTTTTCATTCGAACTAGGTTCATGAACTGAAATTTGTAAAGTTCTCCCCAGAAAAGTTATTCCTTTAGCTTTCCATTTTATTTTCTTTGTTGATTTTACCTAAGTATGATGAAATTCATTCCAGTAAGTGAAGTGGGGTCCATGACCTTAAGATTTTATTTTTAGTTTACAGGCCATATAAACTTGGGAAATACCAAAGGCAACATTTTGGATTCTCCTCTGTGTGTTGCACATATTCCTTCTGTTTATGTTCAATAGACAGAAATTGAGTGACAGAGCTACACCTGGATGCATACAAGGTGAGTAAAGTAGGCTGTGCTTGGTTGATCATGACATGCTCCCATCTCTTACTGCACAGGAGGGGAGAATGGCTTTCAGGGGACAATTATCAGCCCTGTCACCGGCACCCAACATCAGGAGTATCCACAGAAATAGTTTTCACTCAAAATAAATTTGATTTGTATTTATTGCAACTTATTATTGGCAAGTTCTATTCTACATAACAGTAAAAAAAATTCCATATTAGCAGATAACACTATAGTGGATTATGCTCTTCCAAAACATTCCATAGCAAGTCCAGAAGATTTGTGAGTTCCCTGATTTTGCAGATATTGCATGATTTTTTTCTCCAACTAGGGATTGCCAGTTGTTTAAGAGAATGCTTATCTATGGAATCCTTCCAGCACTATAACTTTCCTGTGTTCATCATAAATCTCATCCCCCGCCACACAAACACCCCAAATCTCCTTTCATTTGATCCTTTGGATCTCAGTTCAATAATAAGCAGAATCTCTACTAGTCCAGTGTCTTATGTGAACATTTCCCTTCTTTTATTGCTTTCCTGTTTCTCCTCTACATGTTTCCAGTTAAGTGAGGCATTTTCTTCTACCATAATTCTCATGCTGAAGGCCTACAGATGAGACCTTGTTCTGGTTGTTTCTCACTGCTACTTCCTGCTCATATTGCTGTTTCAGTTCATGATTATTGCTAGGTTGTAATCTCAATATGACTATGCCAGATTCCACTTTTCCTTATAAAAATCATTGACTGCTTCCAGGGTCATTTCTTCTTGTACCTTAAAGGTGCCAGCTCTTACCTCACTGTCACTCAAGCTGGTTCTGTCATACTTCTTGGAGATTTTAACATCCACAAAGATGATCATTCCAATCTGCTGGTTCCTAAATTGACCAATTGGTCAAATTTAGTTCTAGGAATCTCATCCCTTAATCTGTTTTAGTTGTTAACTCCGAGGGTCATACCATAGACCTTGTCATTACCATCATTTTAAAACTTTCTGTAATCTCAATCTCATTCCCACTAATTTTCAAACAATATCCATTATTTCCAGCTTCCCTCTAACAGTACTCAACTCTAACAATACTTTAACGCCTTGTTCACATACAAACCATTTTTCCTGTCAATTTTTTACATGACCCCAGATTATACTCTTACCTAAGAAAGTATCAAAAAGATTTCTCTGTGTCTCAGTTATTCTGCCTCAAGATATGTGCATGGCTTACCCCCTCACTTCCTTTGGTTGATTATTCATCGTATCTTCTCAGTAATGCATTTTCTGACTACTCACAGTATAGGCAAGTCGACTTTGCACAGGTGGAGGGTCCCTGCTGGAGGTGGGGTGGGGGAAAAGACACCATAGAAACTAACTAACAGCCAAACTGACAACATTTTAATCAATGATATCCCTTGCTGATGGGCACACACAAGGTTTACAACTTGCTGCCAGCTATGTAAATTTAGCTAAACTTGCGATTGAGATTAAAACCAGAAACAATGTTTCTGCACTAAGGCAAATAAATGCTTTAGGGTCCTGTCCTTCCAACCCCCACAGAGTTCAACAACCCTGAATTAACTTTCTGTATTCCCGCTCTGCAATGGAGGAGTTATTTCCCATTTTTCACAAGAGTCCCCTGCTGGGTGACCATTAGCCAAAGGGGTGCCCCCTTGGTTCCCTTCCCCCCCCCCAAAGTCCCCTGTTGGATGCCACTTACCAATAGCCAAAGGGGTGCCTGCTGGGTCTCATCCCAAAATGACACAGACTCTGTTCAGGGTTCAGACCCTCCAGGGTTCAGCACTGCTCACTGTGCCACTTGTCATGGCCGTTTGCAGGATGATGGGGATGAACACAGAACACAAAAGACCATAGACACACACAAAGATGGTTACAAGCTGCAGTGCTGAATGGCCAGTTGTTTTATTTTATACCCTAAAAATCAAAGTTATCTTCCTTGTACTGACCACCTCAGCATAGCAGCAATGACCATACATTCCAGAACACGTAACCTAAGGACACAGATGTCCTCTGACTCAAGGTTTCCAGGCAGTTGCTCAAGGAGCCAGGCATAGAACAAAGACCAAGATTAGCAAGGTTGGGCAAGGCAGCCACAGGGGACATTTCTTGTCCCCAGTTCTTTTTAGGCTGATCCCCCTGTGGCTGTGCATGGCTTAGTCACCTCTCCTTTAGGGGTCTTACCCATCATTGACTAACCAGCCATCTTATGGGCTTAAGCAGCAATCACAGGAACAATGTGTTTATCCAGTGGCCTCCATACCCCACTGCCGTGGGCTGGGCAGCTCTTGATTACTTGCAGCTCAGGTCTTTGTTATGCCTCTGGACAACAATCTTGATTGTCATAAGGACTTTGTCCAACAACATTACTTTTAAACGCTCTTGGCAGAACACATATGTTACTAAATTATTCTTAAACTAGGAAATTATAATGTCATTCCCAACACTTCCCTATACAATCCTCACCAAACCCATTACTTGTGAGTTTACCCACCCCAACCCCATGCTCAGTTACTATTACTAAAATATCAGCACCTTAGTGTTGATCATTGTGCCATGATGGGAGTACCTGTAGTGCTTATTCTTCCATTTTTTGACTTCACTTTGAGAAATGGACTCAAGCACTGTGAGGTTTTTCCTATTCCACCTAATCCAAGCAAAGCTTGCTTTCTACAATGGACAGTACCCAGGTTGCTTGTAGATGCCCTTTCTCAGAAGAAGACCACTTCCTACAAT